GTCTATAGAGCAAGTCCTAGGGTAGCCAGGGCTATACAGAGAAACCCTGTCTTGGGGGGCGGGGGAGAACTCATTTCAACAATAACAGCTCTCAGTGTTAGGATGCCTGTTTAGCACGTACAAGGCCCTGGGTTTGATCCCTAGAACGAGCAAAGGCACAGGGTGTGTCAGGGTGTGTGTGTGTGTGTGTGTGTGTGTGTGTGTGTGTGTGTGTGTGTGACTGTGGTTAGGGCTACACAGAAGGTAAACATAGCCAGGATCAAGCTGGGATTCTTCTGTTCATGCTTCTCTCTCAAGGCAGGCTGCATCTGCCACAGTGAGTCAGCAGCGAGCCTGGGATGTTAACCTGGATTGCACCAGGAACCCAGCAGATGGGGTTTGGCCTGGGCTGGGCTGAACCTTTCACATCCCTTCCCAGCTGCACCCTTCCTGGGCTTCCCTTGCCTTTCAGGTCCTCAGTGACAGAGAAATTTGTATCTGTCACATACAGCATTTATCAAGGACTTGTTCTCTCGGGTGACGACCCTGCCTGGAATTTTCTAGTCTGGCCTGTTCACCGGAGGGAATATGGCTGGATTTCTTGAGAGGGCCACACAGTGAAAAGGGGTACCACCTCCCTAGACTTACAGAATCTGCAGCCTCCAACTCGCTCTCTCTGCCTCCATGCTAGCTTGCTGATCACTGCTCTAGGAGGCTAGGGGGTGCTCTCCATGCACCTACCCCTACTCATTCCCTCAGTGCTCACATTCCTTAGCAGACTTCCCAGCATCTCCAGACCTCCCTCTTCCATCATTTGAAAGGCGAAAGGCCTGGAAAAAATATAAGGGTTGCCTGCCATCCATAGATATACACTTACGTTACTCAAGAGTAGCTAACTATTGGCTAGTGATGTAGCTCTGTCTGTAGAGTGCCTAACATTCATGAAAGCCTATGTTCAGTCCCCAGTGTGGGACACACTGGTCATGTCAAGTCATCTCAGCACTCGGAGGTAGAGTCAGAAGAATCAGGAGTTCAAGGTCACCCTTGGCTGCATAGCAAATTTGATGCCAACCTGGGCAACATGAGACCCTGTTTCAAACAAAAACAAAACAAAAACCCCTAAATCTAATTATTCTCTTTGAATAAAAAATAAATAGATTTTTATTAGACAATCTTGGCTTGGGCTTTCATCTTAAAAAAGAAGTCCAGGTTGTCAGCTTAGAAGAACTGGGACAGGCTTAGTTAGTGAATTTTGAACAAACCCATGTCACCAACCGTACTCAGAGCCCTGACTACCCGGCATTGGGCAGGAATGGCAGGTTGGCCCTGGGGCCAAGGCTAGGAGGGAGAGGAAGTGGAGACGGCCAGAGTGGGCTGGGTCCCTGGAAAAAAGGACATCTGGATACACATCTGTCAGCTGAGGAGGTGCTAGGCCAGCTCTGGGCCAGGCCCTTTTCTCTTTCCCGTTTGGTTTATTTGGTGGGAGCGGGGAGTGTTGTTACCGCAGCACATGTGTGGAAGTCAGAGGTTAATTTAGTCAAGATGGTTATCTCCTTCTGCCCTGTGGGTTCCACAGCCATCAAGTGGCAGGAAAGTGACTCCACCCACGGAGCCACCTGATGGCCTGCTGTCCTAAGGGCCACGCTCTTTTCTGCCACCTGGGGTTCTAATTATGTCCTGTCCCTACCACCTGGCCTGGGTCCTCCACTCTTGCTGGAGCAAGGAATGGAAGTTAGCTTGGTTCCTGTTCGGGGTTTTGTTTTGAGACAGTTGCACGGTTTAGTTCGGACTGGACTGGAACTCGCTATATAAACCAGGCTAGCCAACAGCTATCAGTTCTCCTGCCTCAGCCTCTCGAGGGCTGGGATTCGAGGGGTGCATCACCATACCCAGCTGAATCCAGGCCAGAGGACCTCTGGGGCCGTAAACACAGGAACTCTTAGCCGTGTCCTCCCAGTTTACGGATTTGGAACTCAGTAAAAAAAAGCATAAAAAGGAAGTAGGAGCTCCTCCTCCAGTTAAGTGAAACTGCAAAGCAGATAAGGGAACCCCTAAGTCCACTCCAAAGTGCCAATGTCCCGCACCCCAAGAAGTCCCTAGGTGGCTGGAGTCAATGCTGAGCGAACAGGACTGGCAGGCAGCAGAGAATCCCTTACCCTCCCACTTCCTCAGCCAGCTCAAAGCCCCAGCTGCTGGAGGGACAGGGGACAGAGGGAGGGGGGGCGACGACAACCCCCCCACACCCCCACCCTTCTGCAGCTCTAGGACAGGTGCGTCCTTGATCAGCCTCCCAAGCTTGAAGCTGCTTCCCGGCTGGGACTTTGTCAGGAGCAGTTAATTGACCTGAATTCTGAGCTGGCTGGGAGAAAGGAGCCAGAGTGCCGCCCGCCCATGAGGCCCTTCTTACGTGGAAGGCCCTCACTTAAGCCTCCTAACCGGAGGGAGGCGAGGATGGTGCAGGGGCAATTATCTCCCCATGCATTACAGCTCGGGGAGGGTCATCTGCCAGAGGGTGATGACGAACAAAACGGCGATCGTGAACGTTCCTGCAGCCCACGTGGCCTGCCCCACCCCCGCCTCGAATTTGCAGATCCCAAGGCCCCCGGCTTCCGCCCGGGCATCCCACGAACCTCCCTCCCTGAACGGCCAGACCCCAGTTCCCTGGGAGGCGGGCCAGAGGTGTTGGGGTGCAGCGTGGGCGCCCGGGGAAGCTGCGCCCTCCGTGCCAGCCCCCTCCCCGCGCCAGGCTGCCCTTTGTTTCCCGGCTGCTCCAGACTTCTGCGGAGTCATGGTCACGTGGTGCTTCCGGCACGGGGTGTTCCAGGCTCCACGCCAGGGCCCGGAGACGCCCCCGCTCTGGGCCAGCCTGTGGGTTGCTGGCTGCCAGCCCAAGCCCGAGCCCCTTATCCCTGCTGGGCCCACAGCCTGCCAAGCAGCCCAGCTCGGGGTCGCAGAGCCTCCAGCGTCCACCGCCCCAGGCTCCCAGCTGCTCTGTTCCGCCTCCTCTGGTGTTTCAGCCGGGACTGTCTCCTGGGGTCCTCTGACGCCTGTCAAGTGCTCGCCATCAGACTTCTCATGTCTCCAGAAACCCTGTGGACAAATCCTCAGTCTCCATTCCATCCCTTCACAGGGTGGTCGAGTCTGCCTTGAGCCTCCCTCCCTTTTTTGGCCAAGGCGGCCAGCATCAACAAACATCGGTTTATTGGCCTGGCCCTCCTCCTTCTAGAAGGACAAGAGCCTGAACCTGGTAGAAATGGGTCCCTTCCCTCTGCCGCCGCCGAGCCCTTCCAGTAGACCCACACAGCGACATCACTCACTCCATTCCTCTTAGGAACTGTGAGGCCTTCTGGGGAAGACCTTTGGTTCTCAGCACGGTCCGGAATTCATCCACGGGGCTGGAGGGGCTGGCTCAGCGGTTCACAGTGCAAACTGCTCTCCCCAGCATCTACATCTGGTGGCTCACACCCCTTCCCCACCTAACTCCAGCTCCAGGGTATCTGATGCCTGTCTTCTGAGGACACGGGCACTCACATCAGACACACCTCCTGTCATACTCGTAATTGGAAAATAAAGATATCAAGAACGAATTCAGTCAATAAATGTTTATTGAAATACACCGCGTGCTGGTAAACTAGCCCCACCCAGAGTGTGTTCATCCCCGAGAGAAGTCAGTGCACCTAATCCCTTGTCTGCCTAAGGAGAGGCAGCCTCCCCACCCGGGGCAGGCAGCCCAGCTCAAGGCCATCTCATTTCAAACCTGCAGGGACTTTGGGGTGGAGGGCTGGCCGGGGATAGAAAGAGACCAAAGCGGGAGGGGAAAGCGAGGGGGCACCCACGTGCCCACGGCGGATGTGCGGCACGTGTCTTCAGGGCTTGGTGGGGAAGAGCAGGCAGATGGACCCCCGGCTGCCGCTGTGTCTGTCCACCAGCGGCAGCGGGTGCTTCCTGTAGTGCTGGACCATGGCGGCCACCGAGGGGAAGAGCTGCGGAAGGGAGGCAAGATGTCTGTGCTCTCCTGAGCCTTCCTCTGCCAGCAGCTTCCTAAGGCCGCTGTGGGGCCTGGCAGGGGAGCTGGCGGGCATTTTTCTAGATTCCCCCCCACACACACGCAGTGTGCCGTGAAATTGCAGTGCCATTTTTGCGGTCTGGTTTCAAGCCTGAAACTGCACCGGCATGCCATGCCGTTGGCCAGCCTTGGCATTCCAGAGCTAGGTCAAGACTGCTTTAGGTCTAGGCCTCTGCCCTGGTCTCTCCCTAAGGAAAGCTGAGGTGAGTGACGGACAGTCTGAATCCTACCAGTTCCTGGGGAGAAAGCCCTTGGAGACTTCTGCCCTCCCCCCAGACATTGCCCTCACCTTCACCCTATGAAGATTGAACCGTGGTTGCTGGTGGGTGGTGGCGCTCGCCTTTAATCCCAGCCCTTGGGAGGCAGAGGCAGAAGGATCTCAGTGAGTTTGAGGCCAGCCTGGTCTGCAAAATGAGTTCCTGGACAGCCAAGATTTTACACAGAGAAACCCTGTCTCCAAAAACCAAAAAAAAAAAAAAAAAAAAAAAAAAAAAAAAA